CAGCAAACTTCTAAGACATCATAAATAAGCTGGAACTGATGGGGTTTCGTTGGCGATAAGATAAGCAATCTCTTCTCATAGTAACGGTAATTATAAAACTAAAATTCAGTCATTTTTGGGATGCAAGTGGGGTTAATGCGGTGTAATTAGCGTTGGCGAGTGAGAATAGTTGGGCGAATTCTATTAATGACTCCCATAATACACCCAAAAACGCAATTGAAAAATTTGATTTAGACATATTTTCAGGTGTACCACCATCACTCCATGCAGTGTGCTCAGTTTCCGCCGATTATGCTGATTTCTCAGTACCTAACAATAAAATCTCTAAGTAAGCTAGATCGGATTCTGAGCGCTTTCGTTCAACGTCGCTTTGTCCTTGGAGCATGGTTTTAGGCTCTGCATCAAGTTACCGTGATTTATTTTACCGAAATGACTCAAAGTACTTATTTGAGACCGGTTTCAGCCATTTTCCTTTCGCTATTCGATTGGTAGCCAATTAACCCCGGAAACCACACAATGGCTTTTCACCAATCGTCTGACTAGTGCATTTTTCATTAAATCGCTCAGCGCATATACCTCCTCCGAGCAACCAATCAGGTTGAAGTGCGTACACGTCCATTGGTGTCGGACGCTAACTGAAACGCGCGTCCCCAGAACTAGGCTAACGCAGCACCCAGATTTCGTCCAACCCTGTGTGGCCCGATGAATAAGGCCAAAGTATATCAGGGCTAGAAAAAGAGGTATCTCTGGCCATTGGATTCTTAAGTATTTCGTGTGGAAAGTTATTCCACTGTAGCATCCCTGAAAATTAAAGGGGAAGGTGTACTTAGAGAAGCTCAAAGCAGAACGAACTCCTTTTAAAGTGCACTCAATAGCAGAATATAATATTTTGTCTATTAGGCACGTGGGTTAGGCGATGGCCATAAGATTGAAAAGTATTGGCTTTTTAAATGCTGGCTTGAGCACTTCTACAGTGACTGTCAAACACGCAATGAAAGTCAAAACATAGGTACATGGGTTTTTAATTTGTCGAATTTGTTTTCATTCAAATTGTGGCCGAGGTGTGTGAGTTAGAGTATTAGTAATGGAGCTTGTAATTTAGCATGACTCATACTGTGGTGTAAGCCATATGTGCTAAAACTGAAGGAAATGTGCGCCAGGACGAGGCACGCTAGTGAATGAAAAAGTAATGAGTAGGAGGCCGAAAAGAACGACTGCGTTCGCTGTTCGGCACCGAATTTCTCCACTAGACCAGTAATGGTTGGCTTGGCTGCTCACTGCATTGCAGCAGCCTCACAGCCATGTGTTCTCTCATCATGAGCACACCCAATCCCTAATGAGTGAGCTTTGTTGATCTGAATGACCTGCTCATCTCGCGGTGTCCTTATGCCTCACGACTGAAGTGGACAGCAGTGAAAGGGAGTAGAAAACACGGACACGAGGATACTAATTACCAACACTGACTTCATGGTGTGTTTAGTGGTGTGAATAGCAAATTGAGGAGACAGACAATGGGACTGATTGCAACTGCGGTAGCGCATGCTCGACAAGGCGAGGTGCTGGATTGATCACAGGCGGAAACTGGAGACGTGCTTTTGACGAATCGAAGGTTAGATGGCACCACAGAAATTGTGGAGTGCGAAGTTAACGACACATAAACACTGGCATTCTGAATTGGAGACTATTTTGGGTTAGACACGAGACTCTTGCGTTGATATTGCATTTATCACATGAGATCGTCTAGTCGTCTCGTTGTCCCATCCGCCGTCCACACGGATTTGCAGTCTGCTGGTTTCCATCATGGCGTCGTGTACTTGTTGTTCGAGAATTGGAAGCAACTCGTAGGTATGAAGTGGGAACACGTCCTGAGTAAGTATCTGTAGAAACCGTTACAAGAGTTGGGGCATTGTGTGGAGAGTGCTGTTTATTCAACAGATGGTCTGGTGGTCGTTGTGGAAAACCCCATCAAAGCGAAGGAAGCCACCACCAAAGCGTCGTGTGTGTTCGCGAGAACAATGACTTTACAAATGCAAAATCTGTGTTGATGTGGGGTGGGTGTGAGGTTGTATGCAATCGGACCACGGACACTGGTGAAATCTAATTGAAGCAACATGGGCTACTCTGGGTATCGCGATTAAAGAAGACTGTTCCCCATCTTCCAAAACGACTTCATTTTTGCAGTAGCTGCCTGAGTGGAGGCCATTTACAAAACTTTTTCAGCTTTGATTGAAAATGAATTTCACTGCAGGCAATTGGCTAAACGAAGACACGACAGGCAGCAGAGTTTTATGTCTGCCAAATCGTCCACATCAAAAATGCTTTTATGAATGTACCAACAGCAGCACCGATGTCGTGCGCAAAATGAAATTTGAAGAGTTGTTTGAAAGCCTCGCAGAAGTTTTTATAATTATTTTTGGGAACATGAAATGATACACTTGATATTCTTTCGACGACCTGGTATTCTAGAGCTTTATGTGGCGTTATAATACAAAGCAAATAACTCTGTTCATTGCCTTGATTAATTAATTTAATAAGTGGTAAATTCTCATGAAGGTAAGATTTTGTTGTTTTTTCAAATTTTGAATGTTCCTTTAGGGCTAAGAGAATGCTGAATGGCTGCGTGCGTTGTCGTGCCGAGTAACACAAATGCGTGATCCCATGGTCTCCCCGAGTAAATGGGTGCAGTCACTGCATCTTTGCTTACTCCCATCGCTTCAATGAGGTACTTCAAAATCTAGAGGCCAGCCAGTAGCGAAACACCACTATTTGCAGCCCTAAATTGCAAAATCGCAGTGGTTGTTGCTGAGAAAATTACAGCCATTTGTTCATGATGTAGTCCTGCTCAAACCAGTTTCCTAGGTTTCAGCCAACGTCATGTAGTCACCCAAGTCCACAGCACCGAAATTTTTGTTGCTAAGTCTATGCAGTTAAATCATTCATCTGCATTTTGTTAAAAATACACTGAGTGCATTTGATGCCCTTAAATGCGGAAGACCGATATCTCAGATCAAGAACTAGGCGGACAATAAGTCAAACGTTTTATTTAACTTAATGACCGCTCTGCATTTTGTTCTCATGGTGACAGTAGAAATATTTGGATTCGAACGGGCACGTAACTCACAATATAAATTTCAAAACTATGTCTCCTCGGGATTATTCAGAACCTATCTAATCCACTGAATTTTAAAATACCGAAATTCAGACCCTCATCAAAATACAAGAGGTTAATAATTATTTAGTTAATTTCAAATGTTTTAAACAATGTAGCTGATAAATTATCGCGTCAAATTTTTTTCCGTTCAAAGGCAACTATACTCATTGTAAACTAATTCGACTGGAGGCATTTAAACAAACATGCAGAAGCATGTTTTATAAAAAAAAACTAGTTCATCAGACATCAATTTTTAAGCCTCAAGTGGAAATCACGACTTAGTCCTCTTTGTGTCTGGACCGAAGTCAAATACTCATTTTTGCAAAATTAAATTCATGGCCATTAGACAGTTTCTTGTTTACTTTTAATTTAAAACGAAGTATAAATTTCAAGCCCTATAATGCGTCGGTGACTGTTATATATTTTTTTCTAATTGCCTTTGTTCACTCTCAAAATTATGGACATTTCATCCGTCTTCAAGCTCTATTTGAGGTTTGATTTTAATCTATTGACACCGAAATAAGAAACTTGGCTTATTGTTCAAAAGTGAGACCTATGAAAAGAAACATTTGATAATCAACAAATTTAGCAATTAGGATTTTTGAGTGGAAAAGGTCAAGTTTGTGTCTATGGATATTTTATCATAATCTCAGAAAATTCTTTCGTGAATACGTTTTACATTTGCCAGTTTGATTTATAAATTACAAAAATGTATTTACCAATAGACGCTAAATAGTAAAATGGCAAGTGAGGTGATGATGCATAGTAAGTACATGTAATATGCTGTCAAATAAAGCAATAAAAGGATGTGGACTTTAATAGATATGGAAAAACCTGCGACAATAATTTTGTTTGAATACAGAGATTGGCAACATTAAATATACCATAACATCACCATAAGGATTAACCCCACGATCACATAATTTATTGCAGCTTTGTGTTGGTTTAACCCCCCCCCCCATCCCACCCACATTCTACCTCAGTATATCACTGAAATAATAAACTCAACTATATAAATATTACAGAGGAGCAATTTAACTGAATTCTGAAATATTGCTAAGTATCAAACTCGATCCATTTGGTCCTTGTTTTCATCTATCTTGTTTAACCTAATAGAATTTGTGACCAGCTATAGAAATCTTGGACAATACCCAAAAAAATGAAAGTGGGAATTCAAAGCTTAACAATGTCTTGCTCAGGCGATAAGGCAAACATCCAATCGAAAAAATTCTATTCGTATCTCAAAACATATTTAAGTTTCTAAAATGGGTTAAATAGCAATACAATACAATTTTCTCAAAGATCTTTCCATTTTTGTGTTCATATGACAATAACAACTTAACAAACGCCATTAATTCTTATTTGTTCACTAAAGACTGTACAAATGTTGGCTTATTTCCCTAGTTATCTCACAAAGATCTGTTCGCTTGACATAGATGTTCATGGCTATGGTTACCATGGTTTATGCTGTTATAAAATTTCATATCAACAAAAATAGGATATCTTCAAATATAATCCGAAACGTATAATAGATGCACAATTATACTTCGAATTACTGCATCAAATTCACTACACTATACATCAAATACTAAGATTACCCACTTGGTGATTTTTGATTTCTTCCTATTTCATAAATCGGTTTGGTAACCAATAAAACACCTCCTCAAAGTGAATACACTAAAGTTCTTTGCAAAATAATTAAATAAAAATAGTGTCTCTGTTAAGGTTATTTTTTGCAATAATTACTTTAAATTGCTGTTGTTATCTACAGTCATTGTTTATTATTGTAGTATTTCAAATTTGTGGAAGTAACCAATCATATTTTCCAACTCATTGTGAGTTGCTCGGGATGTCTACGGCTCCGAAAAGTGACGCTCCGTCGGAAACTATATTTGGTGGTGCCGAGGGACCTGATGCCATGTATGTTAAGTTGGTTTCCTCGGATGAGCACGAGTTCTATGTCAAGCGTGAGTATGCCTTGACGAGCGGGATTATCAAGGCAATGTTATCAGGACCAGGTACGTCTGTTTTGCCTTCCGATCCTGGCTTATTTAATTTCTTAATCAATCCTCCTTAGTTGGCTACTTTTGTTGCATCAAGTATTTGTATTTTTAGTTCCAACTATAGTCCACTGTTTGGATTTCCGTATCATGATTACGTGCTAATTTGTTTTCATTGTTATCGTTTACTTGGCCTTAAATCTACGGTTTAAGTAAAGAAACGTGTATTGTAACAAAAAACACGTAGTAGTACTAGTGATATTTTTGCAAAAGATCTCCTTTTGTTGAATAACTTTTCTGGAACGTGTGGCCTGGTTTTCTGTAAGCCGTCCCACATTCCCCATTTAGGGTGTCAAGTATTCTCTGCATAACAGGCAAGTAAATGCTCTTGACGTAAGTGATTGGCGGTTGCTTCATTAAAAAGAGGAGTTAAATGTCCCTTGCATAGATTGTATGTAAGATAATCGCCCCTATTTGATGACTTTGGAAGGTCTGTCCTGTAGTATTTCGCACATCAGCTACCCTCTAAAGCTCTTAAAATATTGGACTATTATATGAAGCTAAGGCAAAGTAAATGTCTTTGTGCACCCGAAATTATTGGTCATCCTCAATTCTTATGTGTCGGTTTTGACTGACTTACGTGATAAATTTTATTTATTGTATAGGTCAGTTTCAGGAAAACGAAACTAATGTTGTTCATTTTCGCGAGATTCCTTCTCACGTGCTACAGAAGGTTTGCAGTTATTTCGCCTATAAGGTTCGCTACAGCAATTCTTCTTCGGAGATTCCTGAGTTTCCCATTGCTCCCGAGATCAGTCTTGAATTGTTGATGGCGGCCAATTTCCTAGACTGCTAAAATTGTGATGTTTTCTCGTTGCTCTGCTATTTCCTTCTCTACTAATTTACCATTTAGCATGTAAATACATGTTCCGGGTACCAATTACATTAGTTAATGGGGGTTATTGTTGACCCGTTAATAACCTCCTATTTATAGAGCTGTATAGAACTCATTTCAAATTATGGTGTTTGTCGAGATCTTTCGCGAACCATAAAAAGGTAGGCGATGTCAGTGAATTTTTATTTAATGAGGTAAGGTCATGCTAATGCTACCGAAGACTTGCGCATTCCCCATTTCGTAGTGGCCGTATGATTATACCACAGGCGAATCCAGTTTTGCCAGTTGTCTGTGCCCCATTGCTGCAATATCGTGTAATTCGTGATCCAAAGATTCAGTTAGATTAGGACCACACTTGAAAGATCTGCTCTAAATGCACATCGACACATTGCCAGCGTGTTTGCGAAAAAGTGCGACTTGCAAATTTGCCTGAAGGATCTGTCCACAGGACCACGCTTGCGAACACGGGGGTCTGGTATGCACAAGTGCTTGGTATGGGTACTGAAGGTGCACTCACCAGTGCCTCGACAGCGCAAGCGGGCTAGAGAACTAAGACAGTCAGACTGGAGCAGGGTTCGGTCAGTGCATTCACTACTTTGGCGATTAAGGACATAAGTCGATTCAGTTGGATATCAATACTTGAATGCAGATCGACTGTGCATTGTTATTCGGGTTGTCATTGCCGAAGTCAATGCCGAACAATTAGCCCGCAGGAGGTTCATTGTCGTGTCGGATTACGTGTCGCCGGTTTAGACGCATTCGGGCGCATGATTACGTGTTCCCCTGACTGCCAATCTTCTACTTTGGTCTCGATTGGCTTATTGAAGTACAGCAGTTAGAATCACATGTGCTGAAGCGTAAGACAGATCGTGGCTGAATCGGTAGTATTCTTAAGTAATTTGATTGGATTCTGCAAACGTCTCAGGACCTTGTAGCCTTTATTTCGATGCACTCAAGAATGTTCAAATCTCAAATGTGAACGATTGTAGTACTAGCCTGCGAATGTGAAGCATGTCGTCTTTGCAAACAAATATGCAGTTCTCAAAATCCTATCCTCAAACAGTAGTTTGTTTGGTGAATTTAGGGAAGGTAAATGCGATCTGGTACCCAACATCAACTTTCGGTTCCGCATTTAAGATCTGTACGCCAGTGGGTAACGAAGGACCTTGCTCAAGTAATCCCGTACTTGTGAGTGAAAAAAATTCTCAGAAGAATTTATTATAGTTTCAAGTCAGATGAAATGAGCACAGCGTGATAAATATGTCGTGGCTTGCATCCCTCTAATTAACGTTCCCTAAAAACTGAGAAACGAGGGGAGAGGAGTTAATGGGCACGATCGTTTATTAGCATTACGCCAACTTAGTGCCATGTGCGGTGAGCTTGCGCGGGTTACAAACAGCTGATAACAGTAGCCAATGAAAAACAGGGATGAGTTGTTGATTGGTAAATAGGCCTCAGTCGCGCGCGATCGGTGATAACTGCCTACAAATACCCCCCTCCCTCCCCAAGAATGTTACCTTGTGATGCACTGAACTCTCGAAATTTATTGAACTGGATCAGCAAAATGGACCGCGGGTTCCAGAGGTCGACCAAAACAGGAGGTAGGGCAGAGTGCGGACACTGGAGAGTGCAGGTTAAGTTCGTCTGTGCTTAGGCATGGGAAAGGAAAATTACTATCATTGGTATAAGCAACTCTAACACGCCCCACGTTCACAATATCCAGCTATCCATTTTCGACAAATAAAATATTTGTTGGTGCATTCTACCATCTTAAAGGGGCAATCATGGGGTGGTTGTAGGGGTTTTTTGACGCCATCGACGTGGACAAAGGCATAAGTGAGGTAAAAATTTGGCTGGATCCTTACTTGCCGTGGGGAAACACTAGTTGGGGTTAGTCATATTTCCTTCATGATGCGCTTTAACAGGTCAACGTACGATGAGGATGGGAAACTAAGAATGTGATCAGAAATTGTGACCATTTCACCAGGCAGACGCAGAGCCGTACCAAATACTTGTTCCGCTGGCGTGGAGTCAATATCTTCCTGTGCTGCATTGAGAATAGCCAATAAAATCAGTGGAGCAGTTAGTAAACGCAGGTTTAGCAATAAAGGCGGACTTTAACTGCCTATGGAAAAGTTCAACTACGCCATTGGATGCCGTGTGATTTGCTACAGCATGTAAGCGTTTGCAACCAAGACGGCGATTTAAACCATGAAACACCGAGGCGTGAAAGGGAATGGAGACATTCAAACATCTGCTTTTTAAATTGAGCAAGAACTTAGTATTGAGGTTTGCCAAATGTCAAATCGGGCGTAATCTCCATAAGTCAGTGGAGGGGCGGCAGATCTTCCGGCTTTAGACAAAAAAAATTTGACGAAGTTGTCGCAATTTAGGATTATTTGTCTGAGCTGCAGCTAACTACAAAACTGATACAAGTCCCATCAACGTGGGGACTCGTGGTTGTGAACTATGAAGCATAGTCAAGGTACCTGGATTCGCGTGTGGAATACCGATCAGATGCAGCATAAATCAAGGGCCTATGCTCCGTGAGAATTGTGAACTCCCGTCCTTCTATTGGGTGACGGAAACGTTTCACGACCAGATAAATCGCCGAAAAATCTCTGGGAATTGTGCTGTATCGGGTTTGAGGCGGCTGAAGCTTTTGAGAAAAGAACAATAATGACTCTATTACCTTCCAGTTCTTGTTGAAGGACTGTGCCGACATCAATTTGGGAAGCATCTGTTCGTAAGTCAAGCCTTGCTACCTTCTTCCAGTAGCACAAGTTCGTGACACCTGCTGTAGCGCCATTAATAGCTTCAAAGGCAGCCTCAGCCCCCGGATGAGCTTTGGCTTGGGATATCTTGGTACAATTCAGTCAATGGAGACAAAATTATGGCGGCATTTGGAATGAATTGTACGTAGCAATTGACCAACCCGAAAAAATGTACCAAGACGGTGTACTGAGAAATGACGGTGTTGTTTTCTTAGTCAGGAGTCCTATACCAACTGCCCTTAATTGTGATATCATGACCTCTAAGACGAGTAACGACTTGACGTCGATGCAGAAAATGTTCGTCAGTGTTCTTGCTGACGATGAGAAAGCCATCAATGTAGACAAAGACGAAGTCAAGACCACATAGGACTTGGTCCATGAATATGTGAAAAGTCAGTTCTTAATTACGCAGAACAAAAATGAATTCGTAGGAACTTGAATAATCCGAACGGTGCAATAACGGCAGTTTGGGGACGTCTTAAGGGGCACCAGGTATTTGATGATGGGCCTGGATAAAGTCAAGTCTTTGTAAAACTTTAACATCATTTAAAACCAAAGAAAAATCTGGGATATGAGGGATGGGGTACCTATCAGGAACCGTGACATTATTCAGGGTTCTGTAATCGCCATAAGGTCTCTAGTCTCCGGATTTCCTGGGTGCCATGTGTAACGGTTCCGCCCACATGGTACCGTTAATTATGCTAAGGCGGCACATTTGCTCAAACTCTTTTTTGGCCGCTCCGGATTTATCAGGTCCAAGTCTTCTGGCTTCAAAGGTTGTTGGCGAACCCTCGGTCACGATATGATGCATGACTTGATGAGTAGACTCGCAGGACGTCTGAGCCACTTTGGCGATTTCGGGAAATTTCTTCGAGAGTTGTACATGCCTGTTAGGTTCGGGAAAGGCCAGATGAATTTCAATTGATCTTACTGAAGCAAAATCTTCTCGAACAGATAGGGTGGTAATTAAATCAATGAGCTTGCGTTGTGCCACATCAACCAGTAGACCAAACTGGGAAAGGAAATCATGCCCAATTAATGGGTACTGAACATCGGCCACTGTAAAAAATAAAAGGGAATTGTCGCCTTAGACCTAGATCTAAAGTAATTTTTGGCTACACCTTGCAATTGGCGAATTGTTGGTGGATTGAATTTGTAGATCATGGGCTTTGAGATGGGGTTTCTTAGGTTCTGGCGGAATTGCACTAATTTCGGCGCCAGTGTCCAATTTGAAATCGATAAATGAATAAGGGAAGCAAAAATAGGTAACTAGATTGAATGCTTCGACCAATCGTTGCCATTACTGGCAGGCCCTCTAATTTCGTGAAGGTTCATTTCGCGGGTTAAAACCTGGAGGTGACTCCACGCGTATTTACAGGCTTGTGCCTTGTCACCATAGCGCTGATGGTATCAACATAGGCCAGATCGTTCGCCAGGTTGATTGGATCGACGTAAACATAATGAAGAAGGTTGTCAGCATTGCGGATGTCTGTAGGAGTTGCTCAAATTTCCTCGAGTAAGTTCATCAGTTTCCAATGAGAGGTTGTCCATGCGCTCTCCCAACTTATTAACGCACAATTGTTTAGTTCGTATAAGAACAGAAGCCTTCAAATAATCATAGGGTTCTTCAGGTGACATTGCTTTATTTAAGTCAATAACTACAATAACGACATCTGTTGGAACGACCTATGAGTACATGGAGGACTATGAGGTTACATTTAGGTTACGAAATTGAGCCTCAGTCTGCATAAAGCACACTCTGGCGTTAAAAAATGTAGGAAGGAAAGCTTGTAAAATTGCTGTTTTTCATACGAGAGCGTGCAGCGATAGGGTTAGCTAATGTTAACAAAACGGAGTTGTGAAACGTTCGGCAGAAACAAGCAGTCAGCGGACTCAAAAATAAATTCATATTCCTGCAAATAAACGTTCATTTCCCAGATTCGTGTCTCCAATCAGTAGTTTGTTTGGTGTTTTTGGGGATGGTAAATGCGACCTGATACCCAACATCAGTTTTTGTTTCCTCATTTGCATTTTGGGCATCAGTAGGTAAATAAGGACACGGTCCACGTTCTCCCATACTTTGCCTCTGTTGTCCATTACAGGGAAAGGGTTGGGATCCGGTACGTGTTTTTAAACTCCTCCGCTGCCAAAAATGTAAAATTCCAGAGTCACAGTATGAAGAAGACAGGTACAATATACAAGGCTTCATTGACCAATCGTATGCCGGAACCGCAAGTCATTAGCCGTTCACCCGAATCCACAACACTGGCTGCGTGGCCTATTATATACTGCTTCTCATTCGTGTCCGGCTCTGATTGGAAAGCCTTTCTGCCGCAAAATACAGCGAATTAGCTAAGGCCGGCGTGGTCCAATATGTCTGCGACCTTATACATGTCGACATTCTGTATTTGCCATTTATGTATCAGCAGGTGATTAAGGAAACTACTCAAGTTCTCCCATACTTACGAATGAAAAATTCTTAAAGGCATTTATTATAGTTTCAGATCACATGAACTGAGCATAGCTAAATAAACACATTAAATTTATGGTGTAGTACTTACACTATCCTCATCTGAACCAATTAATTTACTATGCCAATTAAGTTACACCGTTCGTGCTGTTTGGCTGTGTGGCATTGTATTCTGAATGTTAATTCTTTCTACATTCGTTGAAATTACTTAGCTGGTGTAGTGGTAATCAGCACCGAAGTCCCCATTTCTGTTTCACATCCAGCTGTGGTGATGTGATTTGTACTCTACGTTAGTCTGCTCGTGGAACATTTGAGATCATCATGTCTTTAAAATTGAGGCTTCAAAGCAAGAATTAAGGAATTATTTGTCGCATGAATAATCAGTATAACAACGCAAATATATGGTTACGACCAGAAGTTTAGTTTAAATTTATACAAGGCTAAGTTAACATAATCTAATGAAAATAAAAGTCACACTCGCTTGCCTAATATTCACATTAAAGCAAACGACTTTGCATGAACATAGATTCATTTTATTAAAATAGGCCATTGAATTTTCTTGAAGCAAAACCTTACAACTTTGATCACTAACCAGTCTTATCACTAAGTTATTTTCACTGCAAAAATATAGCTGTAGTTGTTTTTCAAAAAATGGAAAAAAATTAAATTTCTTGCAAGGAGAATGAATGCCGACACCATTCATTGACCAATACATTTTACTGGTTTCTTCTTATTTACAATCCACATTAATTTGTTGTATAAGGACAAAAAATAGGTAACAACAGTGTCCAACCTGCAAAATTAAACTCTACACTCATTAAAAATGTTTGGCTTGATTGCCTCAAACGTCAGTTTTAAAAGTGTTGCCTCAAAATGAATGATTCGCATGTACCATTCGGATTTACCAAAGCATAATCGGATTAAAATATATTTTCTCAGACAATTAATGCCCCTGTGTGTTTCTAAATACGTCTCAAATTAATTTGTATTGTTTAGAGAGTCAAATGCAAAGATAAGTGATAAAAGCAGTTTGTTGACTATATCGGATTAATTTTTGCTGCAGAATATCGTCGACTAATTGGTTTCTGTTATCTAACATCAATTTACTCAAAACGCATAATTATCGAAAAAAATGCTCGACAAGAATTAATAAAATTGGCTGTCATGAGCACAGCGTGTTTACCATATAGGATTAATTTCCGTTTTAGTACGACAAAGAAGTGCTGACCAAAACACTGACCAATGTGGTACTAAGAGAAAACCCTACTATCAAAAATCCGTGAATATTTTTAAAACACACAGTGGTGTAGGACATATGACAAAGCAGTACAGTTTTAGTTTGTCAAAATTTTACTATCATTCTAAATGTTCACACTCCTTTTTGCTTTATCTTTTTATTTAATTTTGGGCATATAAGCACATTTACCACTGTTTTGAGTATGGCACAAATTGGTCTGCCCAAAATTTATTTAAAAAACCAAAATATTTTAAGACGTTTTGTCTGGTACCGTGCACGTCTCTGGTTATACTTTGTTCAAAAACCAAATTAGCATTCAACATAACAAGGACTAAATCCAAACTTTCAGCTCCAACTTTTGCCGCTAGTAATAAGGTTTATCTGAATCAGCTTCTTTTTATTCAAAACTTACTCATGCAGCCCTTTAGATATAAATTTGGATAATATCCATCTTTATGGACGGCAAATGAAATTGCCACTCGCATTATCCCTATGCCACACTCAAGTTACATGCTTTTTTACCTACTCCACAGAATCCTGTTACGTAATCACGCAACCTGAGTTATTCCGAAAAGAATTAATGCAGTTTTGAGTGTCGCATCGTTGGGATTATAAAAAAATAATGTTATTTTAATTTAAGGGTCATTTTAATCACACAATCGAACACTTAAGATTAGCATAAACTTGCAACCGTGCTTCAGTATTTTTAATTCATTACTCAAAATTCAATAAAATCAATTTTACTACGGTAAATATGCTACAAAAAATTTTTAAAAAACTGATGAATGAAGTCATTTTAGACCACGTAACATATTTAAATAACTTAAAAGTGCTTTCTATTCAAATAGAAAAATTAGTAAACCTGTTTATTTTGCTCCAATTAATATTTGACTAAGGCATCTAAATTAGGTTAAGTGCAACCTAATCAGCTACCTATATCTCAATAAAAAAAATTTACTCAAAATTAAAAAAACACTGGTTGGCAAGGCTAGCACACGTGATCAAAAATGGCGGAGAAATTGACAGAAATTACTCCATTTTTTGCGTCCTTGCACATGGGGTGTATTTAAACAAAAGTTGTTAGCCTGAGCTACGTGATTGGCTAACATTAAGATGGAAATTTTGGGACTCCATTGGCTCTCCCTTCATGTATTCAGGAATTTATAATGGTTGCACTTTATTCTGGTGACCTGTTCTCACATTTTTATCGGAGTTGTCGCATGGTCAAACAGCAAAGTAATGGACAAGGTTGATGAAATTGAAGGTGCTGAGGGGGAGTATAGGTATGATGTCGTTTTTAAATGTTTCGTTGGCCACTTATGTTTGCCTATTTAAACAGACAAGGGTGGATTTAGGTCAATTTGTAGTAATCATTGGTCCTATCACAGTTTTTTCTTTCCTTTTTTAGATCACCTGAGATGGCATCAGACCAGATCCTTGACACAGTTGTCGGCTCCCCGAATATAGGGCACTTTTTTCGTTCTTGTACTTGGCCCCCCCAAGTCCCCAGTCGTAATCGTAAAGGGAAGCATCTTGCGAAATTACTGTGCCTTCGAAATTGTGGTGAACGCTTGCTGGCTCCTTCTGACAATGTTCAACAGCAGATTTCAAATTCATCTCCATCCATTCTTTCGAAGGCAGCCAAGTTAGCTCTGAAGCATCTTGACTTGGGCTCGTCGGCACCTAGTCAGCTGTCCAAAGTACTAAACAGACAAGCAACTGCAAAGCAGGCCCAATCATCTCCGGACATACCTTATGTACCTACCCGTTTATCCAGCCCTCCCCCCTCCGAGTTTTCGAGCATATCATCTGACGAGGTAATTTGAGTGCTCTAACATGCTTCTCTCTAAATTCCATAAGTATTCTACGTTTAATTTTTTTTATTTCGAAGCGTTCACCAACAGCTCAAAGAAATGGCATTTTATCCCCAAGATCTTCACGTCGTCATAGAGGTCATCGGGCTGCCTCGCTTACATTCCTGACAGATAACTCCTCTATCAGCAAGGCAGAGGAGGAGGAAGCGGCGAATGAGAGTGGTTACGTCGCCTCTACTACTCCCGGAGCAAGTAGTTCTGGATCGTCATCGTTTAAGCGCAAATCTGCACCCGGGCGGTTTCATCAAGTCCGCATAATCGACAGTCGACTTGAGGAACCCGCCGATGAAGCTGAAGTGCTAGATGCCCATCGTCGTCACCACCTTCCCCATCGATTTACCCGTTCATGCACTTCAAATGATGATGATGATAGCAGGGGAGAAGAAGACCAACAAACACCTGATTATGTCACCAAACCATCCATTTCCACTCAAACGGCAGCACCCACCGCATCAATTCTTGTGGTTAACCCTCCGCCTGGTGGCAGTAATGGCTCTCAGAAGCACGTTATCCTTCTCACGGGCTCTTCTGAACCTTCTCCATCCACACCAAGTCCTGATGTGAATGACTTATCTCCCAACATGGCATTAATGAATTCATCGGGGCCGAATGAGCTTGCATACCGGAATGCCCCTGACAAGCGTCGTCATTCGAGCTTCGTTCCGGCCTCAACAACAACTGGGAGGCGTAGCGTTGGAGGGGCCTTGAAGCGTTGCAACACTGCGTCCTCGGTGTACAGCGGAGAGCAAACTCCACCGACTCCTGTTAAGTCCACTTTGAAGGCTGCTTTAATTCGCCATCATCACGCGTGTGAACTGGGCCAGCAGTCATCTCTGCCATTGTGTTCTCAAGTGCGTCCAATAAGTCCTTCGCCAAGACAAGTTGTGTCATCGGACGAGGTGGAGACTGACGGTGGATGTAATTTAAGTCGATTATCAACCCCCATGGAACCTGTTTGTGTTGTTAACTTAGCCAGCCCTGCCAGGTAGGCGATGTTGCATTTATGTGGGTTACGAAAGTATTTTCTCACACCTTTGTTTTCTGTTTTGAATAGTTTTAGATGTTAGACCATTAGCTGATAGCATTTTTTAATTAGTGTCAAAACATGTACTGTGAAAAATACATTGTATTACTTATTGCACCTCACAGTATTCATCGTGTTTTGCGTTGGCATATAGACGAAATTTAGGCGGTTTCGTCTTCCTAGTTGTTGGTATTGTTTGATTTTTGATCCATCTTAGGGGTGGACATTCAACCACTCAACCATTCAGAATGCATTTCGCGAATTATTGTGATACTCTTTAGGTATGGTTGCATATTTATATGCATCTAAGATGAGGGAAACAACTATGAATCCTTAATTGGAGGAAAATGTTTTGACTGGTTTAATTTTATAAGTTGCCTCTACATGTATACAATTACGCTTCAGAGGTGTTCGTACAATTGGGGTTTCTGTCTTTTTTTGACTGGGAAAGGCCTTTTGAAACTAATATCAGCTAATACAATGACGACAACTTTTATTGTTTTTGAATAATCATTGATATTCTGGCAATAGGTATAGTTTTTGAAGTGAATAATTGTGGCCTGTGATAGTATTTGTTGAGTCAATCAACAATTTAACCATTTAATGGCTCTGGTATAGTTCTGGCACAATTACAACAAACGTTTTAGCCTTAATCGTTGTTTCGAACTGCAGTTCCCGTGAAATATCAAAGTACTTTTATGCTTAGTTCAGTTCAATCTCGGGGTGGTGTCCGCTGTTGGATGCCATTGTCAATTTTATTTGATTTAGTCACCTTCATGTCAGATCTTCGTTATTAGCTTCTGACATTCAAAACGTTAAATATCGTTCCCTATCGTAAAAGTTTGCTGAGTAAAATCCCTCTGACTTCCATCCATTGCCCTCTATTTGATTCTACGCGTCGTCGCATGCTTGGTGGTGGGGTCACTGATTTATGTACGTTGTCATGGCCAATTTTGTATCAATTAAATTGATGCCGCAACTCCTTTTTCTTAATTTTTGTGTGGTATTCCATTTATAAGGCGTTTCTTGCGGACTTTACTTGAGCTCTTTCTGAGGCCATGACCCATGGTATAGTTATGTAGGGGTAGAGATTCGCAAACACCCTGGTTTCGTTAGCTTTAAATTGCTATCTCAAGCACGGCTGCGTTCATCGCAATAAGAATTTTATTTTCTTAATTGTAACTCCCAATTCTACCTTGCATCCTCTCAACAGTGCATGCCTAATTCGTTTTTGGGTTCTCCCTAGCATTCATAGTTATGGTTAACCTATCTTCCTATTGCGTCGCATACCAAATTTTCTAATTGATACTGTTAACGCTAAGTTAACTCTTTACACAGCTTTGGCTTGAAAGGAATCCAATTAATTAGCATATGCAACCGTTGGTGAAATGTTGATCATAAAGTTGGTTACTTTCCCGTTATTTCTATCGGCATTTAAGTTAGACACAGTCATATTTACATCTTTATTTTGAAGTCAAAACCCCTCTCTCAGTGGTGCACAACAGCGCGTCAATCTCCTTGTTGAGGGCGTGCGTTTCGTCGTCGATATCGACTGTCTCCGAGCACACCCGGACACCATGCTTGGCAGAATGTTTCATTCGGGCTTTCTTGAAAGCACTGCTGCCGTTAGCAACTATGATGCGACTACCTATCCCCAGCAGCAGCCTCCCAGCGGCACAACAACGTGTGAGGAGGAAGAGGAAGACGAAGTTAGTCCTGGAAGCTCCGTGTACAACGCTGCGGACAGCAGTTCAAGGGGTGGCGCGATGGACGTCGAACACTGGATGGCGGCCTCGTCGCGCGTTGTCGGAGAGGTGTCTGGCACCGCACACCTCGCAACCCACTCTGCGCCCGCCTCCTATCGATCCCACAGGGGCAGCTTTTGTGGAAGTCGCAGACGCAACAATGCACCTATGGACATATTGCTAAGCGGTAGTGGAGTCACCGCTAACGTCTTTCGTGTTATCCTTGATTATTATCTGGTGGGAAAAATGTCATGTCCACCCGGGGTCTCTGTGAGGCAGCTCAAGCAAGCCTGTGAATATTTTCTCATTCCCTTCAACCACGAGACCGTCTCTTGCAGTAACTTGCGTAAGTTATCTAAGTCACTTCTACATGCAAAATTTAGGAGTATTTTGTCTGGCGCTCCCTTTTGTTTGTATTTACTACGTCACTTCACACCCCTTTTTGACAATGGTTATCCATAAATCTATCTGTTCGTTATTTGGACTCGATAAAGTACAGTCGGGGCTATTGTATTAAACATGCAGATTGAATGGCATTACCTTATGTGACTTTGTCGTTAATCCAACCACAACTGTTACTGAAGTTGTATGCCGGTCACTGAAACGTCAAGCTTTTCCAGTGAATATCTATATTTCGAGACCCGCATTGTTCCTATTATCTATTCGAGTACTTTGCAGGTGCGATTAAAGCTCGGCTTCCAGAAGTCGATAAAGCCTCATCAAAAACCATGCACGATAATATTTACTTATGCAAATTATGTGTCCAACATGATTTACTCAGGCGACGACTACTTTAAATAGAGCGTTGTGAACGCCTGAGCAACAATTCAGCTTGTTAAAGGCCAGCCTATTGAGGACAAATAAACGCGGTTTCACTTTCATTGCCACGGAGCATCTTTCCGTAGATTGACCTCATTCTTTCAGCCATCACGTTTACGTAACCACCAACACAACGCATGCTTGCCTGCTTCAGTTGGTCACTACCATTCGCCTTATTTGTTTGTAAAGTGGTCGCTTGACCGATTTTTATCTGATGACGGTGTACCTCAAAATTTTCAGCGATCTTAATTTTTGGGTAAAAATTTTCATAATGACATCTGGTAAATGCCCCAAGAGTCACTATTTTCTAAATTTCGGAACATTTTTGTCGGATGATCCTTTGCCAATTTGGTCATAGGATATTGCACCATGTGGTCACGTCGTCATATACCTCACGCTGGTTTAGCCACCCTATTCGTTTAAATTCACACTAACCGCTAGAGCTATAACGGTATCGATTAATCTACCAAATGCTATAAATTTGTTAGTTTTCATTATTTTCATCGTGTTTTTTTTCATGCCATTGGTGTTCATGTAACAGACAAAAAGTCCGGAGCCCAGCCGTCCATCCACCCGGTAGTCCTGGTGTGTTGGAATTGGGAAATAGTTAAGGCGACGACACAGGGTCTAATTTCCGGGTTCATCCGCCCGGACAAGCTTTTACTGATTAACTCCGCAAATTAAACCACGAGCACACAATAAACCTCAGGTCCGTTACTTTTTGAGGGGCTATTTTCTTGTTTCAAAATAACGCCATGATTGCTTGTTTCGTAATTGCGCATTTGATCGTTGGGATTAATTCTTAACATGTGGCTCATTGTATGGATTTACCGCACATTCCCCGCTTTTCATAAAAGATTAAATCTCCAGTACTTGTGTTCCTGTGATTTTCATTAATTACTGTCGTGCCCTTTGTCTCTTGCAAATCAGGTGTGCCGAAATGACGAGTGTAACTCCGCACAGCACGTGCCTGTGGCAAGCGGCGAAATCAATTCCTAGTTTATTCCAGGTAAAAATGTATTCACTCATGAGGTAGTCGTACTGGGCCCCTTTAGGGGATATTTGCATCCCAAATCAGTTCTGGTGCGCTTTTCTATCAAGAACCCATAGCTGAGAGGGTGGGCCAACCCCGTCACCTTTGCGCAAGCTATCGTGCAACCTAGTTACAAACCGGAGTGGCGGAAACTCGTGCTTAGGGGTGATGCTTATCTGTTGCCAGGCTCGGTCGTTAGGTGATTTTTGTTTTCCAATGACAATGTGGCTGCTTTGGTTTTGCAGTGTGAATTTGGTCTCAGTTTCACTTTCTGCGTTCACGTATTCCAGGTGAATTTCTTCACGAGGTCTCCAATGACGGTGCCTACACGATCTTTGAGCAATTCCTCGACGAGAAGATTGTTCCCAAGTTCATGAAGTGCGCACAGATGGGCGAACGTGAGTGCCACATCGTCATCCTAACCGACGACGAGCAGGTCCACTGGGATGACGAGTACCCGCCCCAGATGCCGGAGCCTGAACTTACCTCTCACAGTAAGTCCACCTGAAATCTACCCTGTTTTTCTCGAAAAACCCAATCTACTCTTCTATCTCTATCAAATTAAATAGTTCGTACTGTGTCGTCAATTACAGCGACAGGATGTGTAAGAGTGTCAAGTAATCCGCATAAATTTGGCAAATTCTCCCATCTGGTCTCCTGCGATATTTCAGTGTTCTTTTTTGGAATCTGCCAAGCACTGAACCTGTTGGTGGTATTCAATACTTGTTTTGCTGCCTGCCCATCCACATGGTGATCTGTTTTTTCTTCATCTATTCTGCCGTAACGCTGCATGTACCGACTTTTTCATGCGTGCTGATTGCAAAGTGTGGATGTTAACGGCCCAATACACGTGCATTTTCAACGCATCGATTACTACTTGTAATCGCTTCCAGTTTCCACGGCAAACTCCAAGCAGTTGTCTTATGGTTGGTTCTTACAATTATAAAATGTTTATTTTTTGAGACAAGCGTGGGCTGCTTAACAAGGCGCCACCGGAGTCACTCGTATTCATGTAGCCCCGTAACACATGGGAAGTTACACTTGGCAGACTCTATTGACAACCTGACTTGGCATTGTCGTCGTCGTCGAGCCACGCAAGCCAGTTCTGGCAGTTTCTGGCTGTGATCACACGTGCGAGATTCCAGATAACTCGTAGTTGTTTTCCACTCTTTAAAGGGTACTTGAGGATTGGCATACTTGGCTCTACAGAACCAGTGATAAGGCCCACAACCGTTTTCTTTCCTGGACATTCACAGTTCATGTAATGGAATTCATTTTTTTATTGTTATGTAATCTTTAATTTTAGGAACGCTATTTACTATTATCTGTACTGGATAGTTTGAATTTCTCGCACCAAGCACTCCATAGACGTAATGAAAGGTGAATTCTTTTAGAAAAAGTTTGTGAACCGAATGATTTTTCTGTTATTCAAACAGATACTTTACGGACATGTTGCTAGCAAAGGTCATTGTAGTGATGTGCGTAGTTTCTTTCAGCGTGTAACCGCGTTAGCGACAAGACAGGAAAAACAGGGAATCTGTCGGTGCATACAACCAGCGTGTAGCTGCCATCCCACCGCTTCAATGTGGCCCACGGTTTTTGCGCTGGCTCGTGTCAGTGCGTAGGTTTGAGTCACCACCGCCAGCGCGTTAGGTCAGCCTTCCGTTTTTCGTTGTTATAGGCCAACGAGTTGCAATAGCACTGATATGATGTATTACATAACGTGTCGCCCCACAGCAAACCTCCCACGCTTTTGTCCGTCCCACCCCCGCCACGAACTTACACGACATTCCCCTTTTATGTTTGCAACGACCCTGTGTTTTGCCAACACAAGCCGAGGTGACATTTGGGTGTGCCTAAAAGTGCGTCTTTGTGAGCTTCGTGCAAGGTCTTACCCTGAATGCCCCTAGCAGCGCACGTTTTAACATCCGTCGGTTTCACTGTCATCATAGTGGTAACGTAAGTTTCAAACTAGTGTCGTGCAGGAAATGCGATCGCTCGTTTATCATACTAACCTGACATTTAAATTGGGGCTTTTCATTCTTTTGCTGATCACTAGTCTGTCGAAACCAGGGGCACGTTGAATCGATCGACGGCTTCGGTGTAACTGCGATTTTTTTTAGTGAGTCCAGTTGACACGGCGTTGTTCGAGGCCTCGACATGTGGTTGCTCCTTGTTATCCTCCAAACGCATCATTTTAGGTTTAGGTTGGCATCAATAACCACGTGGTGTGTCCGATGCCTTTTGCTCTTCCATTGAGGGTCACATCATGGTGCTTTTATCACTCATTCGAGCTTTTCACATTTTGGATTCATTCGATGAACTTGTTAAAGGACTTCTTTGTTCAGCTGCAGAGTGAACGGGCAATTGCATGTTTTTTATCTGTAAAACACACCCAAGGTACACTTGCTTATTTATGTCGTATGCTGCCCCAATTAAAGTCACGGAGACAAACAAATACAGTTGGTATGCCAACTGCTTTGTTTCCACAAAATCTACTTTTCATGTGCTAATTTAAAATACCAAACAAACATAGAATACAAAACCATCGATGTTTTAAAATGCAAGCTAATCCAGAGAAATGTTGGTTCGCGTGTAAGTGGATAGTTTGTATGTATTCTTGTTGTTTTTGTTGAGCCGTGAGACCTGCATCTTTCAAATTTCAATGCTTTAGCTCAAAATTTTGTCTCAGAAGATTTGATGTGAACAGAACGAACGGCTAATTGTCTTCCCACACCCTCTTGATTCAAATGCGTTCTTGTTCTTTTATGGTTCATTCTCGCGCGAGGCATCAGTGCGTCGGAGCGTAGTTTGTGAACAAGCTTATTTTAATTACGAGGCAACCTAACTTTCGGTTCATCCGCGATTGTTGGCAACCTTGTGAACACAAACGAACCCACAGTACCGTTATCGTAGTGTTTTCGAATTCACTATAACTGACCACAAGAAATTCGCAATGTTGTTGAAGCACTTAAGTGCACAGGCACTTCACTGGAGTGACCAACCTCCACCTGCAAATGTCTTAGTGCCGTCCCAGTGCAGAGGTTGATGATGAGTGGCCCAACAGACCTCCACTTTAGTGCCATCTGGAGTGAAGCGGGAGGACAATGAGGTTCACTGGGTTGGTCTCATGCATTCTTGTGCTGGTTTCGGTCTGTACCAACGCTCCTTGGGATTTCTCGTAGTCACAACCCAAATGCCCTGCCTGATTTCGTTTACGCCCCCTCGTTTCTGCATCACTTAACATGAAAGCTGTTGTGTCAGTGTCAGCTATGCCCAGTCCACTGTTTATGAGCTTTGCTTCTCTTAATGAGGTAAAACTAGCATTCGCAGCCCGGTGTCACTTTCTGTCCCCCCAGGACGACTCAATCGTAACTCACTGTTTTTGCCTTTTCAGTTATATACAGCACCCGAATGTACCGCTTCTTGAAGTACATCGAGAACCGAGAGATCGCTAAGTTGGTCCTTGTCGAGCGTGGACTGAAAAAGATACGAATCGGTATTGAAGGTAACTTTTACTCGCGAATCATGTTTCCCCCAAATCCTCTGATGTCTTGTGTTTTGAGGACATTTCTAGCGTGCCTCGAACTCGATTAGAGCCACCGAAGCATTAATGTATCAATAAATAAATGGATTTAAACTAATTATGAACACAAAATCCTTTCATCGCCTTGGCGACTTTGATTGGCTCTTGTTGTGACCCTGGGCTCTTGCCATAAGGGCGAGATGTATCTCCGTTTGGAACGGTTCACTGCCATGAGGCATCTTAGTTCAAACGTTTTGACAGTTCGGGTGTTGGGAGGCAACAAGGGGACCTTTAAGTCCGTAGATTATAGGTCGTTCGATGTGGTTTGCCACGTGGTGGTTTTATCCCCACAACCGTCTCCCGTAGGGGAGGTCGGATAAAGAGGAAACAGGCTCTTTATCCAACCTCCCCATCACCTTTCTCTATTTTCGAGGTACAAAAATGCCAGATTAGCTTCGAGGTAAACTGACATGCTTACTATTATCTTTACTATTAGGTTATCCGACTTGCAAGGAGCGCATGAAGTTCCGCGTAGGCTCAAGACCAGAAGGTAAGCGCAGCCTCTCTTTTCGACGGAAATAAGCGAAGGTGGCCTTCGCCAAGTTTCATGTTTAAGGTGTTGTTGCATCTGTTAAAAGTACATTAACGTCTTTTGTACTTTCTTGAGAATGCATTGATTGCGGATTAGTTTGGGTGCCGGTCTGTTCACCACTTCTGCATGCGGTTCTCTGTCCACCGCGGTGCCATCGATACCCTTTTCGCGTTTTCTGCGCACCAATTTCACGAAATGTCGAAATTCGCTTGCTTTGTTTTTTTTTTGCGAAGCTTGTCAGTTGACTTGTTGAGAATTCTTAATTGCTCACGTACCATATGTCGTGTTTTTTTTTCACTGTGAGTTCCCTGCCACTGCTCGAATCACGCCCTCTTTCGCCTCACAAGACGTCCGCGATAAGTTTCGCAAAACCGTTGATTTGTAGAAAGCGCACCCTGTCGTCCCTTATGTAGTGAAGGAAACTTCGAGACACAATTCACCATCCTAAGGGCTACCTTTTAAAGCCCTGTGCACGGAATTCGTGCCTTTTTTTCTGAGTGCGATTTTCGTTTCGACCGATTGCGTGCTAATGCCCATAAATCTTGTTCTCCTTGTAATGGAAGCAGTCTTTTTTAGCTCACACAAGTGCAGCCTAACTCTGACTGATCAGTTGTTTTTTTTTTCAAGAGGTGAGGTGTAATTTTTGTTTGTGTTATGAATTCACGCCCTGGCGGCAGTTAATTTATGCCACTCATCGGTCATTTCATTCGGTTTTAGCTGTCTTAAAACAGTAAATTTTTATCCTTACTTTCTAGCCATCTATAACTACGTGCAGCGCCCGTTTCTTCGTATGTCATGGGAACAGGAAGAGAACAAGTCGCGTCACGTTGATTTTCAGTGCGTGAAAAGCAAGTCGGTGAGTGACCTGACTAGCCTGGATCAAGCTATAATCGATCGGCCGCCTTTGGTCCCAAGTGGGAGAGAAGAGGGCGGAGTTGGGGACCCTATACCGCCCCGGTTTTCACCCTCCCTGCCCCATCCACCACCACCACCACCCCTTACTGGTTCGCGTGGGAACCCCCAGTCGCCCCCGTGAAACCCACTTGTCGGTGTCCCAAACCCCCAGTCCATTTTGTTTTACTTCCTGGCGCGTTGTCTCTACACGTACCCGTGGCGTTATTTACCATTGTGCCCTTTTAACAAGTTTTTGAAAGACGTTGTGAACTCGAATTTGGTCTGGTCTGTTTAACAGTTTTTGCCGTCGGATTGGCGTAGACTACTTTCGCTCTGGCAGCTCTTGCGTCCCCAACTCTTACCCAAGTGTTGTAGTTTTCAAATAAGCGCTACCACACGTCTTATCAGCGGAAACTGTCTTATGATCGGGTGGAACAAAAGCGTTGTAATCGCGACCAGCCACTACCCTCAATGACGAGGTAGACCGGAGAGTACATGGGCACAAACGTTTACTTCAGAGCTCAACCAAGTTGGCGTTTGCGCGTGTGATTCGATATGTTACAGGTGTGTGCTAAAATCGGGACCTAGATGAATTTTATGTCACGTGGCGATAATTCAGGATAGTCGTTCGCCCCAATGGGGTGTGAGTTGGTGTTCCATTTGGCTGATGGCATGGTGTGAAAAAGGGTACATTGTATGGAGCGATCGGATTAACGAGTGTGAATCAACACAGTTCACAACTACCTGTTTTGCCACCCACCAATGTCACCATCAGGAATGCGGACATTAATTGAAAAAAAAACTCGACCACATTGTTGACGCGCCGTAGTTGTGTAAATGGGACACTGTCTCAATACCGTTAAAGCTTGACTAAACAGGTTGTGATGAAGCCTGGTTTTTTGTGCTGGCAAACCGTCGTGTCGCCTTGAAGCCACGCATTATTTCCTGTCTGAAAATTCACAATGAAGGTCAAAATTACAATTGAGTTACTATAGTTTTCATTGTTTAAAAGTTGCAGTTATATGGAATAAAAACCCATTTCGGTAATCATCCTAGGTGAGAGTTAGAATTCCTGCCCCTGGTTTGCACAGAACCGCGTACAAAAATGCTTAAGACGTTAAGAAAGTCAGTGCAAAGAAGTTGGCTTCGTTTGCATGTGTGGACTGTTTCAGTGCGCTACCAGACGACTCGAATGCGTTGCCTAGTCCTGAGAAAGAACGGATTCGCGCCCACAGTCTAAAGAGGACTATGCTCGTTTTTCGTGCTCTTTTTTTACTGCAGACAGAAAAAGCAGTCAATCTGCCGTCGGAATGTCGTTGGAAGATTCACAAAGAGCTTTAAGTCTTTGAACCGAGGTTAATTATTAGAAATTCTGTCGCCTATAAACGAACAAATAAGGATGGCGAAATCAACTGACAAGGGAACACAATTTGTTGTTGGGTGTGTAGAGAGTTAAATGGTCAGGAGGAAAGCTCTTCTGACTAAATTTAGGAGTCCTTAGGTCGCACTGGTATGTCTGATGAAAGAGTGAACAGAATGCGATCTGAACTTCATTTGGGGCAGCAGTGACTAAACATAACTCAGCTATGCTGTCAGCCGCCGTTCGTAGGTTGCATTTTCAACCGCACTAAGATCTGTCTCAAAGTGGGAGTCAACTTCTGTTATCCCAAAATATAGTTTTGTCTGGAGGGCTTTACTTACGCTAGCCACCCAGACGATGTAGATTTATCGCCGGGATAAATCTAGTTTTTCTACCGAACACAAACACAGTGCCTCAACCCCCCAACTTGAAGTCCAGTCTGATCTATCTTAACCACATTTATTGCATTAACGCAAACGGGAAAATGTAAATGCGTCTGTGGGTGGTCAGAGGTTTTTTGAGCAGTAATCGACATCCTGTTTTGTTGTCTACTTAGGAGATGGCGTCGAGTGGCTAGGATTAAGGTCTATTTGCCAACTGAATAAGTAACCCCGTAAGCACACAGTTCGCTGATTTAAGATATTCTAGCCGCATTAATTTCGTCTCCTAAGCATCGATTCTACACGAAGGCGCTAACGATTTGCAATCTCGTTACCTGAGCTTCTCTCTGGTCTAGGTAGGCCCTAAAAATCATCTTAAAGATCCCTTTTATAGAATTGTGAGTCAATCCAACTTTGAAGGACTCTAGTCAAATCGAATTTGTGACATGCTGATAATAAGGTCACGAAATTTGAATCTTTATTTTGTCGAATTTACAGCGAATCAAGACAAATGTGATGCCCAAAATAGTCAAGTTTTCCCCTAAACCCATATTTTGTAATTAACACACCTTGGCTCTAATATTACGGCAGTGAGTGCTTCCAAACTGTCAGATGGAGCTAAATTATCGTTCTTGGGTGACAGCTAACAAGTTGATTCTGGTTCTTTACTCCTATTTCTCACTTGTCCTAATTAATTTGGGTTTTCTGAATAGTCTGCCGCCACAGGTGCCGCTCGCGTATGCCTAAGTTTGTAAACGAAAATCAAATTCTAGTTCGGCAGACGTTTTCGATTTCGTGCTATTGACTTAAGAGGTTTGCCAGATTTGTATTTCTGAAGGAAAGGATGGTATTATTGGTCCAGAGTCAATACTTTTTTACGCAAACAATGCTTGTGCTTAAATATTGTTGGTGCTGCCTTATCCAGCTATTGTGAATGTGGAAATCCAAAAAAAAACATTCAGAAAGTTAACAATAAAAATTAATTGCACTTTGAAACCAAAGGAACAGATTATTTGGAACAGTTTAGATCTGGATAATGGTGACACACTTTATGTCAACTCCAGCTAGGTTAAAAATGGGTAATTAACTCATAACTGTTCACGTTTATGGTTTATAGAGACGTGGCAAAGTTACAAGCTATGTTATTATAGTGGTAGTCAACCGCAAATATTGCGTCAGGTATATTTTAAATCTGAGATTCAAATTAACAGGGAGATGTTTCAGCATCATAATGACCCCTTCACTCTTTGTTTTGTTCTTTTATTTAGCCGCACCACTGATTCCTCACTGCTTTGCGTCAATAGAATGGCCTGTATAAGTTAAGCTTTAAAAAACCCACCACATGTGAATCTACTAACCAGTTAAGACAGGTAAACGTTTCAGTTGTCTATTTGTGTTGGTCTAATGGTCCGGGCTCAGACATGTGCAAATTCTGTTGGTTTTCGACACCAAGTTCTAGCAAAATATCTAGTAATTCAGTTAGAACCAAATTGTATGTGAAGGTATTTTCACAAAAGGCACAAGTGTTTCATGATATTTTGAGTAAAAAAGTAAGCATGACACTTGTTCACATATTTATAATTCCCAAGCATGTAGCGTCGTTTTTTAATCACGAGGGAAAGCATAATTGAATGTCGACATTTGAACAAACAAGGCGCATAAGCTTGGACACGAAGTGCTGTGAAGGTATTACTAAAAGGGAAACAAGCGGTAGTTTGGTTGCTATTATATCTGACGGTTCAACTAGAGGTCATTAGTGTTAGTAATTGAGGTAACCTACATATTATCGCTGTGTTAAGACTCATCTACAAAGTTGTCACCAGAAATTAAGTGATCGGTGTGTCTAAGGAATTAGTCTTTCTACCAATTAATGAATTTCCTGTCGAGCAAGAGCTAAAAATAATTAAACAAACCTGCGAAGCACAAAAACAAACTGTGTAAAAATGTTAGTTTACCTCCAAGAGAGAAACTAATAATAGGCAGAAATCAACTGTTAAAAATCTGTTATCTAAAAGCTCTTAAAAAGTGGAGCAGCCTTAAAAATAAAAGAATTGCTTAAAGTAAATTTATAATGGCACTAGGAGGCACATACATGTGATTGACTTGGCACAAACAGACCTCACTGTTGCAACTGACTTTTCGTGTTAATGAATGTATTATTCCGTGTTTCGTCACGCCGACGGTGATTCTCTGTCTGCTGTCATTTGGGTCGTGGAAGCAACACCGACTTGGTTATCACCCGATGGTACCTGTGAATTCGGCTAATTTAAATAAAATCGACGGGTGTTGAATTGCCCAAAGAAGACTGCCCTCACACCGTCGGAAAAAATACATGACAACACCAGGAACGGTAACTGAAGATTAATTGATGAAAAGAGCAGGTCAAAAGTGAGAATTTTAATGGGACGAGTCGGCTACAATACCAACAGTCCCTTATCTTTTAAAAGCTTCTTTTGCATGAGAGCCAAATATCCGGCTGTTACTTTGCATTGACAAAAAGTAGAGGCGTAGTGTACATATATATTACGAATTTAAAATCGGGTATTTTTCTATAAGCACATTATCAAAATCATGCATGTAGTCTAATGTTTTTTAATGTGGTGAAATCGTGTGTTGGTGAGTCATTACCTACAAGTACATGTCTACCACAGCGTGAGCGTGGCGTTGGCAAAAAGTGCCAGTTTGGTCCTAATTGCCTTCACTCAATTACTGAACGGCTAAATGAATGAAACGAGCGGCGTGAAAGGTACACGCAGAGGGACCTATGAGCAGACGGTTTCGCAAGCGGTAAAAGGTGGCGAGGCTGTGGCGACATAGTAGATGGACGTGAATCAAAATGGTCGCGTCCGTATGAACCAATGGCGGTAGATGTATCAGTGTTTCGACTTGTTTTTGTTTTATTATCAACACACAATGAACTGGAAGTGGACACAGGATCCGTGTCAAAGACTGTCGATTACAGCACGGAGTCGAATTCATCCAATTAATTGCGAATGTGTTAAATGAATTCGCTGTAATATGATACAGCATGGAGTACCCAATAGGGATTGAGGCAGCAGAGGGAAGAGAGACGAGCGTTTATTCGAGAGCTTGGCCAAGTCGTCGTCGGTGTGTGTCCATGGTTGTGTCGTTTAGTGTGTGGCATTTGCGGGTGTGTACTTATAGCTCAGAAGTATGAAACAGCGTGAGTTATAAATGGGCGAACATTAACGTAACTCAAAACTGCCCTTCTAGTGAGGTTACTGAAAGGTAAGCCGTAGGTTGCGTGGCCGTCGAAGGTGGTTACGTTGAAAATGCTTGGAACCTGAAAAGGAGCTATAAAATTTATAGGGAGTCGAGAAATAATGTACGCCTTGCGCGAGTGACGGTATGCTGTCTGTCCTGCAGTTTTCTTTTCTTCAA